TTTGTATCTGATTTATGTTTATTTAAATAATGACAAATATTAGTTTTACATTTATAGTCACTGCTTTGTAAGATGTCTCCAATTCTATTGGGATAAAGAGCCTACACTAAACAAAGCAGTTTGTTTATACTCCTAGTACATCTAATAGGAAATACTTAGAGTCACACATGTTCAAAGCAGGACAAAATTACAGCTTATCTTTCCACAAAGATCTCTTGCTACCAAGAGGCCAGAAAGACCACATGCACATCACAAGGCCTGAATTTTCAAGACAGGATAAACTGCACTGCAGAACCTCCAACTCCATCAAAACTGGAGTCTGTCACATGCCCACTAATGTTCCTATAAAGATGTTTCTGTGTATCCAGGCCTCATGGTTTGTCTTACAGTGGTTTTGAACTCTGGGACTGTGCTTGTAGAAGAGCTAGCAGAGCAAAGCTCTCCTCTGTGGTTGATGTTCTTTTGTGCTAGGACTGCAAATAGAAATTGCACAAGACACTTAAAATCACAGACACTGATTGAAACCTCCTCAGCACATTTTACATGCCCTCTTACCTAGTTATTGCACCAAATCTCCCCTGTATCTAAGGACTGAAAAAACATTTCCTCAATTTGCACACAAATGACTGCAAGACAATCTTGAAGGGGAAAGAAGGAGAAAGGCAGCACTCAAAACTCCACGGATTATTTATGAATAAGCTGAAGCCCTATAAACTTGGCTGTTGAAGAAAGATAATCTCTAGCTTATGCCAAGTGGGTCAGACAGAGGAAGAACCTCAGCAATCTTCAAAGTCAAAGCAGATGGGGAAGTGAATAAGTGCCCACATGAGCAAAAAGGAAACAAGCTTCTGTTCATTTTAGCTTGTTTCAGAGCTTCAGTTTGCTAGACCCCATCAAAAATGTCAGACCTTTAACTGACACGAGCAGAAGAGCTCACTTCTGTAGCAAGTAATAGAGCTTCAGAGTAATTACTTAAGACTACTACTGATGCAAAAATAAGTCCTTGTGTCTGCAGATTGAGGACATTGCTTAGCTTCGTAGTAAGGAGACAGGTAAAGTGGAGGAAGGGTGCTATGCGGCAGAGACTGGGGAAAATGTTCTTTGCTTTTAACTTCGGAAATAACTACACTAGGATTCTTTATCATTAGTGCTTTAGCAATAAATAAATATATATCAGCAATATAAATATTTATGTAGGTGTAAAGTAGGCTCTACTTTAGAGCTAACTGTAACACTAATTAGAGCATTTAAAAAACCACATGAGCTTGTAACTACATTTTTACCCTTTTTGGAATAAAAAAAGGCAGCAATCCACACATGCCACAGAATGAACATATACTGCATTCCTTAAGAAGCTAAAGTTGACCTCTTGGTCCTTTCTCAAGCTTTACATCACTAGATAAGATCTGGGCCAAGACCATTTCCATACACAGGGATGCATCACTGTCTCAGGCTAACCTCATCATCCAAGTGGCAAAAACCTAAACCCACCTAATCTCTCCCAGGGTTATGCTTATGGAACTGGGAATCCCTCCATCTGCCTCAGCAAAATGGAAAGATGACTGGCTGCAAAATAAACAGCACATTAACCACACAACAGTAGCCCCTCCAATCACTGTTCTTCCTGCCACCCACCAAGGGCTAATATTTTTCTATTGGGTCCCTCCCCCCAAATATAAATACTATTTTATACTTTGAAGGAAGAGCTTGTGCTAGTTGACAACATGCACCTTCTTTTGAATCCATGCCAAGGAAGGATTTCCTCTTCAAATTCCTGGGAATTTTGCAAGCTTTCTGCAACAAGAAGCAGCAGACCCTCAAGAAGAACAGAAGTCACCATGTCACTCTTAACCAAGGACTTTCACTGAACTGGGAGCAGTGAAAGAGTATTCAGTGCTATAGTTTGCTAGGGAGACAGAGAGCCAAGGACATGCTGAGGAGATGCTCGTCTTCCAAAGACAATATTACTAAGAGAAACAGGCATCCTTCCACCACTTATTTCAGGAGGCGGCTGCTGAGATGTATCAGCTATTCCATGGGTGTCTCCATGCGTGTGCTTTGCCCAAGACTTCAGCTGGAAGAGCCAGAGCTGCAGAACTTGTAAGAAAACTCCACAGGAAGAGGCACTGAGGGCTTGCACAACAACAACCAGTATACACACATCTTCATTTATGCAAACTCAAGTGATCTTCTGATATTCAGGCTCGCTGTCTGGAGCGAGGTCAAGACAGGAATAGGTATACAAAGTCTCTGCTGGTTTTAATGTGTCTGTTTAACTACACATCCAGAAATTTGCTAAGATGAGAAGCGTGAAGGAAGAGGGTGAGGCTGTGTTATGAGTAATAAGGGGGGAGCTTCAAACTGCAATCTCTTTAGCATTTGTTTCCGTTATCAGTATTCATCAGAAGCCAAGAAGTTAACTACCTTGCTTTAGGTAACTTTTTACCATGACACCCATACCTTCCAGCAAAGGTATTCCCACACCAGCTTTAAATGTTGTAAGATGCAAATCAAGGACTCCCCCTGCTTCCCTCTCCCCACTAAAAAAATAAAAATGGGAAAAACGTGAAGTTTGAAGGACCATGTAAAGTTGCATTTGCCAGCCAGACCTTTTCTCTGCACCCAGGTACAGGAGAAAAAAGAAACACATGCAAGTTAACAGAAAGTCATACTGGCTTTTTAACAGCATCTCCACAAAAAGGCATTATTTTTATGTGGCACATACGTCTGACCCGGGTCAACACTGCAACGTGGGGAGTTGAAAAGGGATCACCTGATGCAACAGAAATACCCTCCCCTCCAAACTATATCACAGGAATTGCAGCCAAGCATCCCTAAACACAGCAAACACAGTGAGAGCCTTCTCGAACAGCACACGTTCTGCGTCAGCAAAGCAGCGTCAGTACAAAACTCGGCTCTAATAAAGGCGTTAATGACCCTTCCGAAAGGGCAGGGGTTCATCAGGCTTCTACTGTACCAAACAAAGACCACCTAAGCTACTTAAACCACGAAAATTATTACATCAAAAGGAGGAAACCAGAGTTAGGCTCATACACAGTTCATTGTTGAATAGTGGCAGTGTTTACCTTTCCAGCATAACGCACTACTGCTCTGGATCCAACTTTAAAGCAGAGAACATGGCAGAATTAATTATGCCCTTTCCTCTTAACCACCATTCCCTGGATTATTTATTAGCTAGCTCTGCATATATTCACAGATGTGTCTAATAGACAAAGTTAAAAAGGATTTAAAACTGCTGCCTAAACACTTCTTTGGTTTGCAGAGTCCTCTCTGCTCTCTGGACAGGCAGCAGCATCAATAAATACAGCCTCAGGCTGCTAATTAGTCACTCCTTAAGCTACATAAAGGAACCGCAAGTACACTGTGACCTGGAACAAGCAAGCATGCCTCAGGAGCAACATTTGGACATGTACCATAGGATGGCTGTACATCCTGCTTCAGCTCTGTACTACAGTCCACTCCTGATCACAGTTCAGCAAGCCACCAGACTATCTAACAGGACTAGGAAGTTCACCTTAGGTGCAGCACCCACAGCTTGGAGGCCACCAGCCAGTTCATGTCTGTTTCTGGAAAAGCCAAAAGCCACACTACACAAGATACTTGAGTTCAGTACCTTGGCAAAGGAATGGCAGATACAGATAAGCTTAGATCAGCTACCTGAAAGGATAATTAAAGGGAATCCAAGAGCCTCTCTGGAGTTATCCATTTTGCCAAAATGAGGTTTTACAGCTAAAGACCTGTTCACTCACTATCCTGAAGTCCTCCCTGAAGAGGGACAAATACCAGGGAGAAACAGACTGGAAACAACTTCTCATTTAAGACTGGACCAGTTTTATTTTGCAGAAGTCCATCATCTCAAGGGACGGAGGCCAGAAGCTTCCACGCTGACCATCCACTGGAAGGAGATCAAAAGGGAGAGAGGGTGGGTACCACTACAGACCCAGCAGCAGAAAACACAAAGAGAGAAAAGAAAATGCTTTCAGAGACAGTTTACAAAGAACAGCAGCACTTTCATCTTTGTCAGCATAGATGCTAGGATACTATATTCCCATGTGAATACTGCAGTTGCTGTTCGGCCTCATCCAGGATTACAAGCAACTTCAAATAATAAATCAACTTAGCTGCATATCTGGCCATGAACTTGTTGCCTTGCATCAGAGGGTCAATCAAATCTTTCCATCACAGAGAAAGGAAAACACAGCAGCACAGTTCAGTCTTCCGTCCACCACTGGGCAGAACTTGGGCTCACAAGCACGCCCCTTTGCTACATAGGCAGCGCAGGAACTGGGTTTTCAAAGGTATTTAGATGTAGGCAAGCACATGTGCTTGCCATCAACACTCAAATCCTGTTTATCACTGATCAGCTTAAATTTAGCATTTTGGGGGTATAGACGGGGTTCAGAAGATGGAAGGGGATGTTAAGTTTGTTCAAGTTCTCCCATCTTTTATGCTAAAAAAAAATATTTATAGATTTGAGAGTTTTAACTCTCAAGCTTCTTATTATTTGCCCTCTGTGTCAGAAACTCCTGCCTAGAATTGTTAAGGGAAAGAAGGAAGATAAGGGGGCGGAGGAAAAGCAACTGTATGCATAGACCTGGAAGTATTAAGGCTTTATTTTCCTAACAAACTAACACGAAGTGGTATCAACGGGTTTAATCTCCAGAAAATAAACAGAATCAAAATGCAAATCATCTCTCAAAATAATGTTATAAATTGGTGAGATTATTCAGTTATATGCAGATGAAAGTTGTATTTCATTACCATGCACCACATCCACGTCATTTGATTAAATTAATAAATGAGGTCCTTATGTCCCACTACAGGCATTACCCCTACTTTTGTTTACTATGTCTTTCTAGCTTGAACCACAGCACACGCAGTACAGCTGGCAGCTCAGTTACAACACAACACGCAGAAGAAGTTAAAATAGGGGAAGTGATTCTAAAAAAAACCCACCAAAAATACCTTGCTTCACTTACCTAAGCAAAGTTGTCATTAGAGAGTTTTCCAGTACTAAAATCCAAGAAAAAAGGCCTGAAAAAACACAGAGAAAGGCAAATTTTAGAAAGTAGGATAATACTCTCTTTTCCTGGGAAGATGAAGAGTCAGTGATTTAAAGGAAAAAGAAGTACATTCGCTCCATCAGTTGCATTTCAGACAGTTATTTGTAACAAAAAGGTGCTCCTCAGGCAGCAAACATATCAGAAACAATAGGGCAGATTTTCCGCTGCTGTTGCCAGTATTATGCCAGTGCAATCCCTCCAATGTCAATCACATCGGACTGCAATAAAACCAGCCTTTTCCAGCAGACAAGCCAGGCCTAAGGCAATTAGCTAAGCTGCCCCATTTAGGTTTTCAGTCATTTGTCCCTCCCATCTAGCAGGATTATCAGTAAGTCCGGACCAAGCTGTGGGGTGGGAAGAGAGGAGTCATCACCCACCCAGTGAGGCTGAAGGTGGCAGGAAACAAAAGTGTTGCTTATGAAAACAATATCCAGCTCACCCGAGGGCTAATTGCAAAAGACTACAAGGCAGCACAACATGGATTGAAATTAGGAAAGCTGGGACATACAAGACTTCGGTCAAGGCATAAAAACACCCAAAGCTCAGTGCAAGTTACTGGCAGAAGAAGCATGTGGCCACAACAGATCTTACCAAAAAAATCACTGCTACCGAATGTAAGCACTCAGGGCTTGATAACACGCATGAATGCAGACTGGGGAAAAAAACTCACCCAAACTATCTGAATGAATATGGATGACTGCAAGCCTCCAAATCAAAGAGGGAGTTGACCACTGTTTAAGAGGAAGAAGTCATTGCTTGTTCCAAGATTAAAAACTTACAATTCTGGCCCTGGCTGAAGCACTATCATTCACTAATCTGGTACAATTTAGTCGGGCTGATCCTCCTCTCAGACAGACAGGCCATTATCAAAAGTTCCTCTATTCATTTTGCTTCCTGTTAGGCAGTGAAAGCCTCTTTTATATGCTCCTCGAGAGAGGCTGTTAAAACCAGGGAAGACTTTCCAATAGAGAAGATAAGGTAGCTGGATTTATTCATGAGAGAAGGAAGGGAAGTCATATAGGCTGATTACAGCTGCTCCAAAGCTGAAAAGTGGACGGTTGAAGGAAGGAGGTGAAAGATGATGGATTTCTTATTAATAAGAATTATACCAACAGCATTATTGTTAGAACTGGGCATTACCTCTCCTGATAATCAACTACAGGATTGAGATTTTACTCCTAAATTGACATCGAATACATACACAGGGTTGGATAACTCAAAAATACATGAATGAGGCAGCATGGGATGGGATATTTAAGAGACTAAGCAAATTAATTACTTACTTTAGAACAACACCCAAGACCAAAAGGATAAACTAGCCAGAGTCAGATGGAAGACACCGCCTAGAAATGCCCTCCAGATCAAGACAATTCACACCATTTTCAGGGTCAGATCCTGTTCTTGTTGCCAACATGAGCACTCAGACATCAATAGAGCAGGATGGCGATTTCCACATTACTTAACATGTGTCAGCAATTTTGAACAGTTGCTTTGCAGATTCTTAGAGCTAACCAAGCAAAACCCCACCACAGAGAGCCCAGTATAGGGCTTGGCAAATGAAAAGCTGCCTGGAAACTCTATTGAGACTGAAAAACATTGCCCCATTAACGTTCAAACAATCCTGTATAGTTAAAATAGTTTTACAATGTAACTAGATGGAAATATGAACGACTACGCACTTCTCAAGTCAAAAAGGCTGAGCCAAAGCAGCAAAGCTTTACCAAAAATTAGGGCTAACTACGATGGCTTCAAGGGTAAACACTGCCTCTTGCTTCCCCTTTCACAGCCTAGTCTCCAAACAAACTAGTAAAATACACAAGAATTGAAACACCCACAGCAGAAAGCAGCATTCAGCATTAAAAGGCAGCAAACCATTCAACTACACTTCATCATGACTCCATCCAGTCCAAATACACAAAGTTGTTAATTGTCTACCCCTCTGACAACGCTAAATGGGACAGGAAGACTTCAAAGACGCATTCCTGGACAGATACCAGTTTGAATCAGATAGGGAAAGAGGGAACAGCCAAGCCTAGAATGGCATAAAGACCCAGCAGAGATGGTACACAGGTTGCCAGGTGGATGGTGAAGTATTAAAAATACTTAAGTAAATAAGTACAAGGCTGCCAAAGGCTGACAGGTTTTTCTCTTGCTTTGCAGACTACCATCAAAGTACACAACCAAAAAGCAAACAGCTGCAACAAAATCCAGAGCTTATTTTGACCCAGTTACTCCTTTGCTATTATTGACTATACAAATCTTCAGCACAAGCTGTACGGTCTGTTCAGTGTTTGCGTGATTTCTTCTTAGTGATGAAGCATAGAATTAGAGAACCAGGAGACAACAGTCACTTTCTATTCTGCCACCAGCTCGCATCTCTTCAGACACATCACTTGAGGCAAAGCCCAGCTGGCACTCTGTCCACTTTTTGTGCTTCAGTGGAGATCCTGCCTGTCACAATCACCAACTGCAATCGTAAACTACAGCAGCTTACTCAAACACTCATATTTAGTGGGTATTTCTGAAGCTGACAAGTCTCAGACTGCCCACACTGTAAATAAGGGTAATACTGCTCACCTATTTTGACAGAGGCTTTGCAACACAACATCTGAAGAGCCAACGTGCTGTCATAAATCTACAATGCACAAAAGCAATTATACATGTTGATTTCCAGCTTAGCACTATGAATAAGGACAAGTTTATTGAAGTGCAAAGGGTGCTTCCTTCAGAGGGAATCACAGAACAGTGTTGGAAAGGACCTTATGATCATCCAGTTCTGACTCCCCTGCCATGGGTAGGGACACCACACACTAAACCACGTCACCCAAAAGACTCTGCCCGACCTGGCCTTGAGCTGCCAGGGATGCTATGTTGTAATGGGATGCCAAGACACAGCCTGCTTGTTCTGAACAGAGAGCAAACCCCACAGATGCAACTCGGACTTCGCAAAGTCATGACACAATGAAAGAGTATGGGTTTTCCATCTCATCCTCCAACAGCAGCTGCAGTACACGCTTGGTGATGCCAGAAAGGTTAGAGAGCTGCCAGAGCATGCACAGGAGGAGGTTGTGTGCAAACAAAATAAGCAGCCTCTAATAATTCTTGTAACCAATTAAGCAACAAATCTCCACTGGGAATACCGCATCACCAGCTGCTTACCTAATTTGCAACCCTGCCCCTTGAGCTGGCTTTGGATTTTTAAGTCTTCCGTTTCTCTTCAGAAGCGGACGAATGAATGCAGCTTCTCTAGACAGCCTGGTTAAAAGGCAAATAAAAGCCCTGCAAAGACCATCAGTACTAAGAAGTAACCATTAATGGGCTTTCACCAGCAAGTCTGGAAGTATTAATACATGTGAGTAGCCACATTAAATCCACACAAATTACCCATCTGTGAGGCTGAACTGGACTTCAAGCCAAAGGAAGATGACTTTTCACTGGTCAGTATCCCTGTGTTAAGCTAACCAGTGATGTTAAGCAGATGCATTTTGAATGTGCTGCTTCATCTCACGTAAAGGGGGGAGAAGAGGAAAAAGAGTCAGAAACAGCACTTATCTGAAAAAGGCAAATATTTTAAAGTACTGCTACTGTTTGTAGAATAGCCTGGAAAAGAGATACAGCTGAAACGCTTTCAAATGTGTGTGCAGCTTTTAAACCGCATACGAGTCCATCTGCCAAATGAGCTTAGTTTGTTAGGACTGCTCAAACGAAGCCGAGGGTCCCGTCCCCCCCCGCCATCCTAAGTAAGCAAGCACAAGTTTCTGGCATAGACACTGGTGTGTGAGATTTTAACATTCCCTTTTCCATAAACAGTCATATATCAAGCTCTAAAACTTTGTTTCACAGAAACATTTGCACTAGTAAAACTCAATTACTCTAATATTTGTATGACACATGCAGGAGGGGTGCATAAAAAGGTTATGGTGAGCTCATTTAAAAATTTAAACAGTGCTTGGTCAAAAGTTTCTGAATTATTCACTCAGCTCCCCTATTAAATCAGACTTCTCATAAGAGTCTTTAAACAATAGCACAGAAGATGCTGTATTTATAACAAAAAGGCAGTATTGAAGCTCTGTCTCACAGAGCAAGTCATTCACAATTACAGCTGTAAACACACACTGGCACGGTACCATGCGCTGGTTCACAATTCTGCTGGATTAACTGGACACTTGGAATACTTGGAGATCAGGAAGAAATTCTTCCCTATGAGGATGCTGAGGCACTGGAACAAGTTGCCCACAGAAGCTGACCTCCCTGGCAGTGTCCAAGGCCAGCTTGGACAGGGCTTGGAGCAACCTCCTCTAGTAGAAGGTGTCCCTGCCTGGGGCAGGGGGTTAGAACTGGATGAGCTTTAAGATCCCTTCTAACCCAAATCATTCTGTGATCCTATGACTCCTTTCTAGAGAGGCAGCACCATTTCCATCTAAATACATCAAGTACTGCTTTAAAAAGCAGCTAATTCTTCAAGAATATCAAAAGTTGAGAGAGGAACTCAAGAACAATATTAAACAAGATTGGGACAATGTTCTGTATTTTTTGTACCAGACCACATGGGCTGGTACCAGGCATTTTGCTACATCCCTGACGCTTCAGAGCCAAACTCAACTGAAGACATCACCACACACCTTTCTGTTATAAACTTTCATGCTGAGTTTGCGTACAGCACGTGAATTTTCTGCATACTAGATCCCTGCACACACATCAATTCTCTTCCAAACCTCAGAGCCCACTTGGAAAATGCCATCTCTGGAGGGAAGAAAAACAGAGGACTTAGAAGAGAGAACACGAGTGGTGCTCCATGTCTTTGGTACCTCTCACTGCCTCCTTCCTTTCTCTCCATCCCTTTCTCCCACATTACAGGCTGCTCTTGGTCACTGAGTTCAATGAACATGAGCCAAGATTTCCTCTCTCAAAATAACTAGTCCAAGCTCGTTTCAGCTATGAGCATCACCCACAAACATTCCTGTTTGCATA